GATCGAGCAGACTGCTCGAGTGTTGGAGGATCTTAATGTACCCATTGGCAACTATCCCCGACTGGCATCTCAGCTGCTTCGCAAAGAAGCCTACGAGTGGTGGAAGAGGACCGATGAGAGTGTAGGAACCCCTAAGCCATGGACATGGGCACATTTCGAATGGGCATTCAAGCAAGAATATATTCCAAAACGTTTTAGCAAAGAAAGACGTAAAGAATTTGTCGAATTGCAACAGGGAGACATAACACTCCCCGAGTATCGTCAGAAGTTTACCTGTCTTGCTAAATTTGCACCAACCTTGGTGAGTACCCCAACCGATCGCATCGAGGAATTCAGGAAGAAACTTTGACCTGACCTTAGGTCGCGTGTGTCCGTCCTAACAACCGTGGATTTTGCGGAGGCCTATGATCTCATAGCCAGGGCAGACAGTGACTTGAGTGCTTGCATTGAGTATTTGAAGACAAATAATGTCAGCTCAAGCACTCACCGTCCCATCAGCTCTATCTCAAAAGGAAAAAGGCCCTTCCAGGAATCTAGCAATTCACACTTCTCAAAGAAGGGGAAATCGGTGCAGACGCACTCTGTGGCGTCGGAAAACAAATCAAGAGGGTGGAAACACCCATTGTGCGATACATGTGGGAGACATCATCCAGGCGATTGTTGGCTTGCCCAAGGATTATGTCTAGGTTGCGGCAAACCTGGACATTATCGAAGGGATTGCCCCACTAATCCTGGCAAACCATTTCCGACTTCCCCAGTTGTCAGTCAATCAGCATCAGCACGACCTGCGCCATGTCAACGATCAACGGCAGGATCTAATCCGGCCAAGAACCAGAGTCAGCAACAGGGACGAGCTCCTGCTCGTACTTAGCAATGAAGGCACGAGCTGAGGAAAACCCTGACGTCATTCAGGGTATGTTTTCCTTATTTGATTCTGTCATGCATGTGTTGATAGATCGTGAATCAACGTTATCTTATATCTGCGTGCCTATGCCTGACAAGGCTGACATAATGAAAGAAAACTTAGAACAACCTATACAAGTGTCTAACCCGTTAGGACATAGTATGAGGTTAAATAATGTGTATCAAGACTGTCCATTGATTGTTGAAGGACATCAGTTCTCTGCCAATCTTGTCGAATTACCGTATAATGAATTTGACATCATCCTCGGAATGGATTGGCTCACCGAACACCAAGCAATTATCGATTGCCAACGACGAACGATTCAACTAAAGTCTGGAGAGGGAAAGTCTATAGAGGTGAAAGAGAATCTAACACCTAGTTCCACTGAATTCATCTCGTACATACACGCTAGGCATCTCATTCGAAAGAAATGTGAAGCTTATCTGTGTAACGTACGTGACACACGAAAAGAAACTCCTGAGTTGAAAGACATACCGACAGTATGTGGTTTTCCTGACGTATTTCCTGACGAACTTCCTGGTATACCATCTTCCAGAAAAGTAGAATTTTCCATCGATCTTGTTCCTGGAACAGGACCGATATCTGCAACTCCCTATCGCATGGCTCCTGCTGAAATGAAAGAGTTGAAGGCTCAACTACAAGAATTACTCGATGGAAAATCGATATCCTTTACCTCGTATCGAGTGTTTCCCCTTGGGGAGCACCCGTCCTGTTTGTTAAAAAGAAAGACGGCTCGATGAGACTCTGCATCGATTACCGTCAATTGAACAAAGTCACAATCAAAAATCGATATCCTTTACCTCGTATCGATGACTTATTTGATCAGCTTAGAGGATCTACTGTATTCTCTAAGATTGACTTACGGTCAGGATACCATCA